TTAACTTCTCTGCATCTTCACTTCTCATATCTGTAAAATGGGTTATAACATGAAATGCCATTGTTTTCATTCCAAATAAGTAACATAACAAAAATCGGAGTCTGTGTGAAAAATATAGGAGCCTGCAGGACCCCCACAGAAGGGCAAAATAGGAATCGTAATTATCAAGGAATACAAACTGTCACACGGGAGACTGGCAGGCGGTGCCAGCAGGCGGCGTATCCCTGGGGCTGTAGGATTTGGCAGAGGGAGGGCCCCACTGCAGCCGGGAGCAGTGGGAGGAATGCTTTAGGGGCGCCTAAATTCATTGACTGGTTGTAACCTTTTGGTAGCTCTGGCCTGACTCTTGCCTCAAGCTGCTATACTCACCAGGGGGGGGGGGGGGGGGGGGGGGGGGGGGCGTGACATCGGCTAAACAACAGCGTCAAGTACATATCCCTCGGCTGCTGACTTGATACAGAACCTTTATTCAAAATATATTGTCGATTTGACACCCCTTTGGAAGGCCCTCAACAAAAAATACCTCCCCCAACAGCCCCCATCTTTGATCCCTAACCAGCCCCAGAGGAGCTCTCATAACTATAACTTGGGGGTAAAAGAACCTTCCCTCTCAGCTCTCGGGACTCATGAGCTCCCCAGTTCCGCTGCCTCTCTACCTCGGGGTGTTTCCTAGCCAGAAGGGCAGCTTCTCCATTGAGTGCCGCCGCCCAGCCCACAGCCATCGGAAGGAGAGGTCCCGCATTGGCAGTCTGGGGTCACAGAGCTGGATTTTGTTTCTGTGGCCACAGCTTCGTGGTTGTGAATCATCTCTAGTCATCCACCGTTTCTCTCTTTGTTCAATTGCTTTCATCACAGAAGCAACAAGGATGTACGGTGGGCCCTGCGCCCCCTCCCTGATCTAGCAAAATAGAGTTTCTGTTTTTCAGACACCCCGCCCCCCGGACTAATAGAAGTCAGCCATGCAACAGGAGAGTGTTCCTTCGGGTTTCAGGGAGGTTTTGCAGCATTTACACCTGGAATTGTCACCTATGCAGTGAATTAATGTGTCTTTTCTGTTAACCTGTAGGTGCCTACAGTACAGGGAATCATCGCTTACTAAAACTCCCAAAGCCAACTCTTTGCTGTTCCCTGCCAGCCATTTAACGCTTCCCCTCCGCACTCTCCCCTCTGCTCCTCCCTCCTGCCCTGGCCTCAGGGCCTTTGCACATGCTCTTTCCTTGGCCTGTGAGGCCCTTTCCCCAGGCACCTGCGCAGCACTGCATGTTTCCCTAACATGCTGTAGTTTTCCTCCTTAGCACTTCGCGCTGTCGGTCGTGGTTATGGTTTCGCATGCTTTCTTGTGTTAAGTGCCTGTCCCATTAGAATGTTAATTCCAAATGGCAAGGACCTTGGTCTGTTAATGGTGTGTCCTTAGCATCTAGAATAGCACCTAGAACATAGTAGCCCCTTGATAATTAGATACTTGAATCAGTGACCACCTTTCTAAGCTAAGGCACTCATTAGCCAGCTGGAATGGGTGTTGAGTGCAAACTCTACCAGGAGTCCAGGGAATTGCTACTTCAGCCCAAGTGAGGCCCAGGCCAGACACAGAAACAGGTTGGGGGTCCCTGATGCATCTCAAGCCTCAATAAGATACATTATTGCATAAAATGTGCTCAACTGGCTGAACTGGCCCTGGGGGCCCCTAGACCTGTGCCTGCTGCCTCAGGATGTGGGCTCAGGTGTGACTGAGCTCCTTCAAACCCTCTCAGGACATTTTTGGAGGTTTACTTCAAAAGCCCATTTTCAGCACACCCTGTCTCTTTGGAATAGAAGCTTATTTCCCCCATGGAAGTCTGTATGTTCTGCCCCCTGGGCGGGGAGCACCGGAAGTGGGGGTGTAGGAATACATTCTGGCACCTAGAAATAGGGGACACCCCCCTTCCCGGCTCCTGTGTCTGGGTCCGTCCAGTGGGGTTTTCAGCTCTGCTGTTGTTTCAGTGGGCCGGGCCCCCCCTGCGCTCCTCCCCTCCCTCAGGGATCTGATTATCAGATTTAAAACACATTTGGCAACTAAAAAAAACCAAGTCCAGAAAGCAGAAATGAAAACCTAAAATGAGGCTCTGAAGACAAACAACAACAACAAGATGCAGGAGACGGTTTCAGGGCTGTTTCATCCCCAGGGAAAGATATTGAGGATTTCAGAATGTAGGGACCTGCAGTTTCTAGTCTCAGAGTGGGTACACCCAGCACAGTTCCCGCGTCACGCAGCTCTGCTGTGAAACGTTTCAGTGTCTTAATAGTCTCCATTTTTTTTCAGGAGTTAAAGTTCTCAGAAGGTAAGCATCAAGATAGTAACATTATAGTTTCTCATTAAAATTTCCTAAAAACCACACACACATAGCTTATTTCTCAAGACATTTATACCATTATTCGTAAACTCATACAAAGACTTACAGGTGGTGAATCTTCAGTATGTACCTTATTGATTAGAAATCTGTGCAAGATGGTGTTTTCCTATTGCTAAGTGAAACGAGCAGCAACAGTTAACATAGACATTTTAGTGGCCTGTGTGTTTTTACTTCCTGGGGTGCTAATTGGGCCCTTTAAACAATGCTGTTGATTTTTCCATCCATTGTCACTGCAATCATTCTACACAAAGTCTCCTGATAAGGGGGGGGCGGTTTCCTTGTTGCCACCACACAGAACTCTGCTGTTAATCCAGTCACTGGGAAGGGAGTTTGGTATCTGCAGGTAAAAGCTAAGCGCCATTGACATTTAATTAGGGCCAAGGAAGATATTGAGCAAAACTTCAAATGAGGCCTCAGCCTGTGGACAGAAAGTCTCCAATCCAGCTTGCAGGAGAAAACAAACACAGGATGTGGGGGGACAATAGCAACAGTGGAGTCATTAACAGTCATGATCAGATAACTGACTGCTCTGTTGGTAATGGGGATTTACTAGGCTTTAGTCTAAGAAAAGCCTCTTAACACCCCGCTTTTCCCAAGAATTCCCCCCACGCCCAGAGTCAACCTAATAACTGTAGGTCAACTTGGATTCCTTGAAATTCATTCTTCTCCACATCTCTTTTCGACTTCCTCCTGTCCTTTCTCCCAAGAGAGAAAAATCACTATGGCTTTTTGGTTCGGTTTGTGGGTATGATTTTTTTTTTTTTGTACACGAACCAAAGAGTTATTTACCAACAACATAAAAATAAAAAACCCTGTATTTCTGACTAGGTGAATGGCAGAAACTCCTACCCATGATTTAGAATCTCTTCAAAGCCAGAATAAGTATGTTGTAAAAAAACAAAACAAAACAAAAAAAAAATCCCACAACTAGTATTCACCTTCAGAAAGACCATGAAAGGAATAAGTCTGAGAAGGTCCCAAACGTGTTTTCCAGAAATGGCCTGGTCTTCAAATGTGCAATTCATCGTCCACATGTGAGGCCTCCTGGACTGGCTTTTCCTTTTTTCTTATCTGAGGTTATAGACCTCGGGAGAGCAGGGGAGGGTTACAAGGTCAAAGTCTTTTCCTCCCTAGTACTTGCTGCTTGCTGGGAGCGGGTTGCCTGGAAAATAGATGCTTTAGAGAAGAGGTTGGGGTCAGGGTTTTAATTTTGTTAAGCAACAGCTGGTTTGAGTTTCCTTCCATTTCTATCTCCTGCTCCCTTCCTCACAAATCCATGGAGAGCAAAGAATTTGTTCAGAAGGAACCGGCAACATAAAAATACACCTCCTGTCACTGTGGTGCTTGGTGAATGCCGTCTTGGTTGCAAACTGAATGTTAAGATTTTATAAAATGAACTCTATAAGGAAATGTAACCAGACCTTTCATCAAAAACTTTCAAAATATAGGGCGTATGCCTGGAAATTTCTCTTAATAATATTTTTGAACTAAAACTTTCAGGGAGATAAGTATACTAGAGGCCTCTGGGGTGTTCGGAGCCTGAGTGCAGAGAGAAGACTCATGACTGAACTATGAAAGTGTGCCAAGGACGTGCTGCTGCTTTCTGGACTGGAGACCTTGTCTGTCTCCCAGTCAGTGTGCCTTCACTTGTTCAGCAAATGTCTGTTGGATTCTGCTTTGTGGAGTTCTGTGAGATCGGTGCTTCCCACAACTCTGAGGCTGTGGGGACCCAGGGGGCAGGTACAGGGTGCTCATGTGCTAACAGGTGCCTGAACATGAACTTGGTCCAATACAGCTTGAGCGGGGTGTTAAGAGGCTTTTCTTGGTCCAATACAGCTTATGGCATCGTCTTCTAACAAGTTCACACATGGTTTGGGACTGAAAAATCAAGTCTGTTCAAATAACATTATTCTATAATAAACTCATAGACCTAATGCTTAAAATTAGTATGTAATAATAGTGAAACAGTAAAAAAAAAATAGGAGTAAAAAATAAAAAACAGTGCATGATTTGATTTTTTTCATTTGGGTTGTGAAGTCTCCAGAGAGAGAGAGAGAGAGACAGAGGAAGAAGGAAAGAGAAGGAATAAAACTCACATCTCTCAAATCAATGGCAAACCAGTAACAGATTTTTTTGCCTGGCCTCCTCAGCACACTGGCCTCGGGCTGTGTTGGTGTGTGGCTCGACAGCAATCAGAGGTCATAATTTCATTGGCAGTTAGCATCAGGTTTAATTTTTCTAGCATGTTACATTTACCGAAATGTCTGGTTTCAGTTATGGGAAGGCATTGACTGAATCAGCTCTGAGCAGCATGGTGTCCTCAGGTACCTGAGGTTTATGGAACACATATGCTAATTGTTTTCAATCACTTTCCTTTCTAAACACAAAAATGTGGTTTCTGAAGCCGAATAACAGTAGTCCTTAATGACACTGCTCTTTTCTTCTATTAGAAGAGGACCTGAAGTAGGTAAAAATGCCAATTTAACAAGACTGCCACCTACTGATTGACATAGTTGGAAAACAGTCCAATTAAAGTTGTGGGGTTTGTTTTTTTAAAAACTCTGTGGTTAAAAAAAAAAAAGTAAATGCTTTTTGAACAATGACATGTAGCGTTTTAATTGCATTGATAATGGGCAAGACCTAAGGTGAGTGCGTAGAAGGTGATCAGCTCCATTTTATCGTGTAATTGCTCGGCTAATTAAGATCAACTTGTTTTGGTTAACCTTGGGCTTTTCTTGCGTCTAAATAGCACATATAACTTTGGAACAGATGGCTTCCCTGCCGCAGCCACCAGCGCTAATTTATGCTTGGCGACCGGCGTGCGCGGCGGTGTAGACTGGATGAGAAAGTTGGCTTTCCGCTACCGACGAGTAAAAGAGATCTACAACACCTACAAAAATAATGTCGGAGGCAAGTGACAGTCACCAGTATCTCGCTGGGTTAGTTAAGACAGCCTAGAAAAAATTCTCAGAGCACTACACAACTTTTGTGTCATGATTTTTTGATATAACTTTTTAGAGAGAGTTTTGTCTGACCTGTGATTATTTCATTGTGACTTAGTGACAGGACTATTGTCAGCTGCCCTGGCAAGTCTAATCTAGTCCTGGCTCCATGACTGAATAGTAGGTGTGTGATCTGGAGTAAGTTTCTTGACCTCTGTGACATTTCGTTGTCCTTCCAATGAGGTGGGATTAACAGTCTTTGCCCAGATGACTTGAGATGGCTTGTAAAAAGCTCCTTCAGTAGATGCTCTGAGCAGTAGGTGCTCTTGTATTGGTTTGGATCTCTTCATTGTGGTTCAAAATGGCTTTAAGCACAAAAGGGAATGTTGTGGCCCAATAATGAAAATGTCGGGGTGGTGGTGGTTTCCAGCATGGCGAACTCCAGGTGCTCAAACGATGCCATCAGGAATCTCTTGCCTAGTTTTTCCTCCAGGAATCATTCTAGGTCAGTCCCTCCCAGAAGGTGGCAACGATGACTGCTGGTATATCCAGCTTTATATGTAACCAGTGCTTCTACTGGGTGGAGAAATATCTTTCCCAATGGATTCAGCAAAAGTTCCAAGATTGACTTTCCCTGGCCAAGCCATGGTCATGCTCCTACCCTGGGAGCCAGAGGGTAGGGTTGGCTCTGTCCAAACTACATGGTTAGAGGATTGGGTGTGAGTAGGCTCCCCAAAGAGAAGAGATGACTTCTATAACCAGAAGAAGAGATGCTAGGAATGTACACTCAATAGATGTTTCCTACAATACTAAATACTTGTCAAACGAATGCTAGTATGTGAAAAATGACTTGGTCTACTATATAGCTTGAGGGTGGTAGTAGTAGTAGCATCACATGTTGATGATTTATAATGTGGAACAGACATACTGGTAAGGAAGTAGTTCATGTGCTTTTGAATCCACAGGTCTGCTCGGTCCGGCCAAGAGGGAGGCCTGGCTGCAGCTGAGGGCCGAGATCGAAGCCCTGACGGACTCCTGGTTGACATTGGCCCTGAAAGCCCTCACACTCATTCACTCCAGGTAAGCTCGCCCCAAGCCCCTTCATGGTGCTTTTGCTGGGAAATGAGCTGTGCTAACACTTGTTCATTTTGGAGATTTATTTTTCAAGTCTTTTTTTTTGTTCTTTCTGTTCTCATAGGACAAACTGTGTGAATATTTTAGTAACAACGACTCAGCTTATCCCAGCATTGGCGAAAGTCCTGCTGTATGGATTAGGAATTGTATTCCCTATAGAAAATATTTACAGTGCAACTAAAATAGGTGAGCTGCTTTTGTTTTGTTTCACAATGGACTCTTCTTCCTCAGGCTTCAAAAATGAAAGGCATTAAATGAGACTTTTTTTTTCAGAATGCTAGATGCCAAAAAAACTAGAAGAATAATTTAACCAATTTTATTGTCAAAATTGGTTTTAGACATGAAGAGAAATATAAATCATAACCCGTATAGTTTTATTCAGAAAATTTCACTTTACTGGCTAACATTAAGACCTACACATTTTAGCTACAGCCAAGTTAGCATCAATTCTAGATTATCTTATTTTTCTTTAGGCAACATCATAAAAAAATCTTATAAGCTAAAACAAATAGTAGTATAGAAATATACAAAGTAGAAATGAAACAATTCTAATAAGAGCTTTATTTAAATTACTGGTGGAACTATTTTTTGCTTATTTTAATTCAACATGTGTAAACCATTGAGTTCCCATTTTGTTATGGGGATACAAAATATTAAGTTCTTGCAAAAAAAGAAACATACTTGAAGAAAGAAAACTAAAGTAAAATGTAGTTAGAATACAAACCAAGACAGAATGCAAGTGGGATGAAAAGAAGGCATGGCGCTTGTTCTTAGAGAATTCACTATCTAGCAGGGGAAGCAGGCAGCTAACTAACTAGAATATGATGAAGAAATATGTAAATGAGCATTTATCAAGTATTTATTAGAGCGCAGAACTCTACTAAGCATTTTACATATTAAAATCAATCTTCACAGCCTTTGCATTTTACAAATCAGGAAACTAAAGCTTAGAGACTTAAGTAAATCGTTCAGGTTAATAGCTAGTAAAGAAAATGGACAAACTAGATCTCTGATTCCAAGGTCTAGACACCTTTCCACATCTAGGAGGTCCTTCCACTAAGTGCCTGAACATGTACTTCATTGAGGAAACATTTACTTCCCCCCAGGAGGGGGCAGAGGGCAAGTGTCAGTGAAAGCTAAAGGGAAGAACTGGTATCTGAGCGGGGTATAGAACAGTAAGTATGAGTTGTCTCTAGACAGATGGGCTTGTGAGAGCAAAAAGACAGAGACATTAAAACATGTTCCCTTCTGAGGGACTTGTGAGTGGTCCTGCGTGACTAGTGTGCCGTGTTCATGGGAAGCTGAGCTGGAAAGGTAGACTTGGGTCCAATCAGAAGTGGCCGTGTATATCACCCTAATGAGATGAATATTATTTTAGTGAGTCCTGGGGGAGGCAGGGGGAAGGGGGAGTATCCTGGTAGGTGGAAAAAAGGTTGTTTTTGGCTGCCTCAGCTCTTAAGAAAAAGGGGCGAAAATGGAACGCCTGTACGTGTGTCTTCTGACTACACTTTCATACTTCTTCCTCAAAGCACTACTAAATTACGGCTAAAAAATCACTTGTGTAGTTATTTGTTTATAGTCTGACTTCCCCACCAGATATAGTTAAGTCTGTCTGTCTCATTCATCATTGTAGCTTTAGAGTCCAGTACATAGTAGGTGCTCAGTAAGTGTTTGTTGAATGAACTTTATGAATAAATGGTTGTTTACTCTAAAGAAGGCTGAACAGAGGTATCTTTTAGGTAACCGAGTCAGTAATGACACTATTAACTGATGGGGAATCAGATTTTATTGGAAAGAGAAGGGTTTGATCTTATCGATGTTGAGTTTGAAGAGCCTATGTGATATTCATATAGCTCTGTGACATTGGAAATACATAGTTGGAGTTGGAGAATAACCGATGCCTCCTGAAAAGGGCCAAGAACAGAAAGCTTGAAAATTCTTATGAAAAGAAAGGAACAGAATAGAATTTCTCATAGCCCAATATAACCAAAATTTTATGTTCTCATGTTCCATGAGAATAGCCATCAGTTTACATTAAGTCAGGTGTTTATCCTCTCTGTATCATATACAGAGGAGTCATATTGTGTTTTGTAAAGAGGGGTCCAAGGTAAAGGTTTATCAGCACATGAAAGTCAAAACAGATTCCTAACAAGCACCTGGGACAGAGGGATATTGCCGTACTTCCCAGAAGAAAGAGCAAGTAGTGTTTTACGTCATGCACATTGAACTTTAATTCCAAATACTTCAAAAATGTTAGGTGATAGGAAATGATAACAATCAAGTATTTTTAATGGGCATTTTGTTTGACATATTGGAACTTTTTTTTTACAGCACAGAATAAAAATTAGAATGAAAGGAATTTGTGGTGGTAGAAATTATCTCAAAACCCAAGTTTCTATGAAATTTTTAATAAGAAAAGTAGAGATAGAAACTTCTATAGTTAATGCTAATTTTGCCATGAAGTGAGATATAATATGGGGACCAGCAGAGAAAACCTAGGCATTTTCCTTGTAGGCCAACGTCAAAGTTATAGGCGAAGATGACTGGTTTCTCCTGTAACAGCTATGATGTTCTTTCCGACAAAAATGCACCGGTCAAAATGAAAATTGCAGACAGGACCTCAAATTAACTTCTAATAGTTTTAATTTTTAAATCTTTATTGGGAAAAATGTCTGCATGACCCCAAATTCACAACGAAGCCTGTAGGAGACAGCATATAGGTGAGAATTTTTTTATTCACCTTTGAGAAAACAATGAGTTTACTTCTCTGTTTTCCATGCAAAGGACGCTTGACAAAAAACCCGATAACATTTCCCTCTGAGGAGGAAAAGGTAGTTTCGCTGCAACCCAAGTTTGGGGTTGTATATTTTTGCAGTGAAAACTGTACTTTGTATTTGTTTCTTAAAGTGATTTAACATTTCACAGTTTAGTGGGAGACTAAAGAAGCATTGAAATGACATCTTTGACTAAGGCCGGCCCTATTTTTGTTCTGCCAGATGCAAACGAGATATTTTAGTGCAAAATGCAAATATAAAGCAGACATTTGTTTAAGCAAACAAGCAATTTGTTCCCGTGTATATCTGATCCTTATTTGAAAGAGACGCAGGCCCTGCTCAGCCATTCACAGTGGAACACTATAAACTGCCCCATTGTCCATTAAAATGACCCCATTGGCAGCCCTGGACTGGGAGCACCAGCTTCTTCTCTAAGAAGCAACAATGGCTGCATTAAGAGCCGGGTGTGCTGACAGTGCAGCCGCCATGGGAGCCCAAACCAAGTCATGACATGGGAAAGATAATAGAGAGATAAAGGGATTCTGTTACCTTTCCCTGCTTCTCCTCTAGGAAAGGGCTGTATTGAACATGAGATGTCTGGGTAAGGCAAGCATGATCTCCCTGAAGTGCCCCAAATGACCTGACATTTATTGCAGAAACAGGTTGGTGAGAATATTTCAGGCAAACATGTTAGGCTTTTTGGGGGGAGGGTCTTTAATTCAAATACAATCCCACCTGAAAATTGAAGGGGTGAATTCAATAGTATTTGATTTCTCCATTTTTTCCCATCCTTATCGATAGCCTTTGGATCAAACATGATTTTCGGAGTTTAAAAGATCATGAAACAATTTTACAATCAAGCTAAAATGTGTTGCCAGAATGACATGCCTTTGTTTAGTCTCAGCTTATAGAAAAAAAAAATACTTCTGCAAGAGTATTTCTCCCCTCGGATGCTGTATGCCATGGACTAGGACCTGCTTTGCAATCAACGAGTCCTTGGGAAAAGAGTACTAAAATGGTCAATTTCAAGGGATGGGACACCGCGTGGGGAATTAATTTACAGTTTTTAATTTAGTGTGCTGTCCCACGTGTTACCCCACGACTTGTAAAAGCTCCTTCTAGTTTGCACAAGTAGGTGAGGGTTGAATCACAGGCATGAAGAAGAAAGTGTTGTCAATAAGAAGTGCAAGTGCGATAGCACTGAGCTACCCAACCTTTACATGTTTCGTGATTTATTTTTGTTCATTAGGAAAGGAAAGCTGTTTTGAGAGGATAATTCAAAGGTTTGGAAGAAAAGTGGTGTACGTCGTCATAGGCGATGGCGTGGAGGAGGAACAAGGAGCGAAGAAGGTGAGTGTTCCCAGGGGTACACCTTCTGCCATTCGTTTCTTGGTCCTCAAAACGCTCAGAACTGGGTCACTTGCAGACATTCTTTTCCTCTGAAACCGCTTATGGATGTGTTCTGAACCGTCAGCACTGAAAGGGGGCAGTGCAGAATTAAACATAAGGTGGGTTTTCTGAAGAGGGGTGCACACAAGCTCAAGGGTCCCGGACGGTTGGTCTTCACAGAACGCAGACTTTGGTGTGATGTTCGGGAGCAGAGCAGGCTCCGTGCTGTAGCTGGCACCCAGGACACAGCTAGCACGTGCGGTGTGCTCAGCCAGCATGCCCCCTGCTGCACCCGTGGCAGACACTGCCAGGTGATCAAAATCTTGTTCTCTGAGCCTGGGTGCAACCTGAGAACCTTCCAAACATCACTCCAGAAAGGCTCTACCAGGAGACCAGGGCTGGCTTGCAATACTATTTGCTGCCCTGGAGTCCACGCCTTCTCTTGATGATGAAGTCGCCACCTTGCCTCTCTTGAGATATGGGGAAGGGAGCTTGACACCCAGGTTGCCCCTCATACTTCTTTTCATTCCTCTGCATCTCTTCGAGGGTAAAACTTAGCAAAGTTTCCTCATTGGTGTATCTTAAGGAGACCACATTCCATAGTAACCACCTGGCTTGCCGGTCTTTTTCACTGTCGCTCCTTACCTTTCGGTCACGTTGGTGTGCTCAGTCCTTTGGCCATGCCCAGCACTCTTCCCCGCCGTTGCCTCTGCTCAGCATGGAATTATATTTTCTCTAATGCTCTACTCTCATTATCTTACTTTTGCAAAATCCAGTTCATGTAGCACTTTTTCTAATTTCCTTGTTTTTTAAGAGCTCGGTTACAGTGGCACTCACTTACAACATAACTGGAGAAGTTGTAAATAGCTTGGACTCCTGAGCCGGACAGTCTGGGTTTGAATTATAGAGCCGCCGCTTACCAGTTCCGTGACTTTGAGCAAGTTACTTAACTCTTTTCTTCCTCTTTCCTCATCTATAAGTGGGAATAAGAATGGCTCCTAGCAGACTGGGCTGGTTTAAGGCATAGTTTAGTTCAGGTGTGTGAAGACCGTGGGACAGAGCTGGGTATATATGAAGTGCACAATACATGGTGGGCATTGGCATTATTTGCCTACATGTTTGTGTTAGCAGTAAAGTGTGAGCTGTACAAAACTAGGGATATTATTTTGCTTGGTTTGTTGTTTGAGACTGTCTTCAAAATATTTTACAACTCCCTAATTCTTGGCACCGTCGTACCCTATAAATATTTCTTAAATTGGAGAGCATTAAATATGAGATTAATCAATAGGACAGTTTTCTTTCCCTTCCCCAAACACTGACTCATAGAAATCACTGTATAATTCCATTAGGGATTCAGTTCTTCAGTTTGGTTCTTCTGGAGTATTCTAGTGTATAGCAGAAGTGGCACATAAAGTCACCAGAATATAGGTGCATCATTAAGCATGACAGGTGATCAGCCTTCTTTTAGAGTCTGAAGGTGACTTAATTCACTTTCAGCGCCTCTGAATTTCAGTGAAAGCATAGAAGCTGACCCTGACTCTTAAATAATGGATTATTTCACTTATGCCTACAGATACGCAATGTGCCCAGGACTTTATGCTCCCCACGTGTGATCAGTGCTGGTGGGAACCCACACTCTTCAGATCCAGCCGAGCTTGATGCTAAGCAGTATTTGTCACTTAAACGCTAGCTCTTACATCCCAGATTTACCAATGGCCAACCACCATGGTCCTTAGGTACATCTGTTAGCCCTTTGTGCAGTCTCCATGAATTGAAATCTTTCCCAGACTCAATTTAGAATACTCCAAATACAACCCTGGAGAGTTAGAGAGAATGTTTGGTGGGAATCCAAACTCAAGTCTTCTTCTTGGGAAAGCCTCTGGAACCTCTGTGCCATTCCTAGACAGGACCTCCTGGTGGCCAGAGGGACACGGAATGGATTAGCACCTCTGAGCAGTTAGAACTGAAGCAGCATCCACACCAGTGGGGCCCAGGGCCTGAGGTGACGGTCTGTTCTCCAGACTTGTCTTTCTCTGTCTAGATTTACCAAGAAGTTTTCATTTCAGGAGAAGGTTGCCAAAATGTGGCTTTTTAGCTTGTGGTAGACAGAAGGATGCTTATGAAAATGACAACTTAAAATGTAAGGAACACCAGTGAAATCCTTTGGGCCCCATGGAGGTTTCTGTGGGTGAGTCCCTTCCTAAACCTTACTGAGCAGCGTTTGTTAGCTTGTGAGTGAGGACTCCTCGCTTCAACTTCCTGTTTTGATTCTGTGGGATGAGTGTATGTGATAAGCGTCCAATAGCATCTATTTCGAACAAACTCCTTGCACCTTGAAGCCCACCAGTGTGGGAACTCTGACCAGAGGTTAAAAGATTGTGTAGGTGTGAATGTAAAGTGTACAGATTTTTCAGAAGGTTCAGATTCCTAATAATCTTGCATAAGATTCTGATATCAATCTATCATCCAGAGAGACAAGCTGATCATTTCTTTCTTATATTCTGCCTGCCCATTTTAGGCTAACTAGTATTTAAATTTAAAGTTTGTGCATAAGAGGCAAAAATCTAAGAATTCACCATAGATAATGAGTATCTTTAAAGTGGAATTCTGCACAGAAGTAGAGAATAGTTAGTATATTTAATATTTAATGGGGGGGGGACTAAAATTCATCAAGATCCCATTTTTACAAATAAATTCAAGCTAAAGAAATAGTTATCCATGCTATTGATGGATTAATGCTCATAATGGTAACTAATTATAATTACTATAAATTGTAAAGCCCTTATGTCCCAGTCCCTCTTTTAGGCGTTTCCTATTCATTATTAAATCCTTACAATAATTTGATGACAAAGGACCCAATTTATAGATGAGAAAACCATGGCACAGGTAGGTAAATAACTTGGCCAAGTTTAGAAAGGGGCCAAACAGGTATTTGAAGTCAATACTAGTTGTGAGGTTTAGCACAAAGTTCTTTCAAATTATAAACTTTATTTACATAGCTTAAGTATGATCTCACAAAAAGGAATTTTCATGCTTTTTTTCACATTTAAATGTCAGGATTTTATTTTTTTATTTATTGTTTACAGTATTACAGATGCCCCCCCCCCCAATCCAGCCTACACCCCACACTGCTGTGTGTGTTCATGGGTTATGCATATATACTCTTTGGTTAATCTCTCTTCTATGCCTCTATTAAAGTATGTAATGTTTGTTTCATTCCTTTTCAGAGGTAGATAGAACAATTTAGCACTCTCCCCCAATTTTACATTTATGACTAAAAATTTTAAAATCATTCTGATATATAATTTAGTTCATGAGCATTTTAGATTAATTAAAATCAAGTGAATCAGTGAAGTTCCGCACATTTGTGCACTAAAATGTTTTTGCAAAATCAAATGATTTTGCATTTCTTCTGAATTGATTTTAACCATTTAGCTTGTCTCTCTTAGCTTCCTATATCCTCTTGAAAAT